TGAAAGGCAGTTCAGTGGGGATGTTTGTTGAGGGTGTCGCATAAAAAGGGGTGGGGCTTTGATGTCCTGGTTGCCACCTTGATGTTTTGGACCCCTGGTATGCTTTGCCCACCTTGCCCCCACCCTTATTCTGTTGACAGCACAACTGCCATAACACCAAGCTTAGGGCTGTTCACTGTCCAAATGAGCATTCCCCATTGTCTGGTCCAGCCTGGCTTCTGAGGCTGTATGTAAACGGTATCCCCCTCTCTTTCCAAACCCTCAGGTGATGAATGAGGATGGCCACGCGTCCACCATTAAAGATAAGATCCTAACGATTGATGTTCAACCCGGCTGGAAGCAGGGAACTAAGATCACTTTTAAAGAGGAAGGAGACCAGGTGTGGTTAGAAACAGGCGGGTAGGGTGGGTGCTTTGTTTTGAACCTTCTCGCTTGGTTCTCTCTCAGTATCTGTTTTATCGGATGCTGCTCCATCTTGATGGGCTTGTGGGCTTCTCCCCTGGGAAGGGACCCCCAGGAGTCCAACCTCCACTTGGTGCAGAATGCAAGTTAAAGCCTCCCCAACAGATGTCTATGTAGCCTCTGCTTGAAGAGAAGGGGTGCCTGGCTAAAGCCACTCTGATTCTTAGCAATTTTTCTAACTTTGAATCAGGGTTTGCCTTCTCCTAACTTTAGACTTTTGGACTGGGACACTTGAAAACTGTCCTTCATCTTGTCTTGAGCTTAAATGCATCCAGTTCCCTCACTCTCTTCCTTGAAATTAGTCCCCAGATCATTGTCCTGATGCTTCCTAAGGGGGTGTCCATGGGTGGGGGCTCAAAAATATCAAGATGGGAGTCACAATTTTGCAATCAAAGCCTTGCCCTCTTTTTTGACATACATTGTGACTGCCATCTTAATTTTTTTGATCACCCCCTCCCCCGTGATCTCTTCTTTGCACCCATTCCAGTTTCTCTGAATGTTTAAGGGTGGGTCTTCAGTGCATCCTTCCCCCAACTGTTGTCTTACAGCTGGTGGGATCCCCACTCCCAGCTTCCCCAAACTGCAGGACCCTTGAATGGAGCTGCTGGGAAGATTAAAACAAGAGAAGCAGGCCATCATCTTTGGTCAGGAGAAGTTTAAAAATATCAACAGTGGGGAACTCAGAGCTGTTCCTTCCCATCCCCAGTATTCTAGTGGGTGGATTGTATTTAATTTTCACAGGGGGTAGGTTTTCAGTTGAGCATGGCACTAAGAATGAAAGGCCAAACTCCTGCTAGCAAAATGAGTTTTACCAGCTGTCTGAAATGGACAGAAGGAATGACCTTGAGGGGCAAGAGGAAGAGCCACAGACACAGCAGCAGTCAGATAAAAGAAACCTGAGGCTGGGACAGAACTGTAACCCAAGAAAGCTTCTCAGAGAAGACCCTCCCTAGTTCTCATGAAGATAAAGGCAGGGGGAGTGCATTCAGACTTGCAAGTTTCTGTTACTATAACCTTATAATAAAGTATCATTGGCTTGCATGATTTTGGTTTCCTAGCCTGGTCTACCTAAGTCCTGACGCTGTCAAGTGACGTTTTTCCCTTTGATCAAGGATGTTGCATTTCCAGGTTGATAGGAACGCAACTGATTAAGCATTTCCTGGAGGAACAATTCACCTGCACACATTTGCTGTGCTCGAATAGTCCAAAGGGGTAATGGAAGTGTGTGGGGATCTCCTTCTCAACCCAGCCTGAACTGAAACTTCTTCTGGTCTTTCATTCTAGGGCCCCAACATTATCCCAGCAGATATTATCTTTATTGTAAAAGAGAAACTCCATCCCAGGTTCAAAAGGGAGGATGACAATTTGATATACGTGGCCAACATCCCTCTGGGAAAGGTAACACAAAGTCTGGAAGCCATGGCAAGGGAAACCAAATGTTGTGTCATTTACACTTACACACACACAGTGTCCACCTGCCATGTATAAGCATAGTTGATTTACTTACGGTTTACTTGATTCTGTGCCTTCAAGTCGATATTGACTCTTACAGACCATGTAGACAGATTTTCTCCAGGACAATCTGTCCCCAGCCTGAGCCTTCAGGTCTTCCAATGGTGCCCCCATCGCCCCTGTACCTTGAATCCCTCCATCTTGCTGCTGGTCGTCCTCTTCTTCTCCTTCCTTCCACCATTCCCAGAATTACAGACTTCTCCAGAGAGCTGGGTCTTTGCATAATATGGCTTACTTAATGAATCCAATTTTCTAGGTTTGCCTGACACACCGAACCATAAGCCATTGAGTTGGTTCGCACAAGGTACAGGGCTAAAATACAACTGGCTAGTTTGTGGTTTGTGTGTTACACAAAGATAGCTGTTACTCATTCAGCAAGGAAGCAAAAGCCAGGAGCAACCCCTGTGCCGGATTGGTGCCACCATCCTTTCCACCCAGAAATGAATGACATTGGCAAACTGTAAGTGCTGACTTCATGCCACACTGAGACGGACACCTTTTGGCAGCCAAAAGCAGCGTTAGCGTTTGTCCAGAGGCCAAAGGCCATGATGTGGGTATAGCTTGTGTCCATACAGTAATACAGCTCTCCTATGTCGAGTGCAGTTTTCTATGTCCTCTGAAGGGTCTGAGGGGGTTCTGAGGACTACAGAAAGAGCTTTTCAGTTTTTTTTTAATTGAACTATTTTTAGAAAAGAATGTAAGCAAAAGGAGATACAAAACATAAAAGAAGTACAAGAGCAAAGTACAAATAATGAAATACAAACAGGCAAAGAGTCTAAAATATCGTAAAGCTACTATTTCAAATTTACAGTATTATAAAATACATCAATTTTTTAAAAAACCTGAAAGTCCCTATTTCAAACTACATAAACATACCTGGTTAGCTCAGGATAAATCACTAACTCAAACTATAAACTACAATCCATTAACTCAGGATTAGAAATCAAATGGCTGCATAAAATCGAAGCCACAGGTTGCCTGTGCCCGTCTCAAGCCAACCAAGCCGTGTTACTGTCTTAGTGTAATGTGCAAATCTGCCTCCGGGTCACCCTTGGATGGCCAGTCTCAGCCAGTTGCTGTTGTTTGCTCCCCCAGGCTCTGATTGGCTGCACTGTGGACGTGAGGACCCTGGATGAAAGGCTGCTGAACATCCCCATCAATGATATTGTCCAGTAAGTGCTGCCTTAGAGGAAGTGGGGAGGGGGCTGGGAAGCTGACAGTTAAAGCCTCCCCGGCTGCATCCAGATTGTAGGTCGGTTGAGTGGAGGATTAAGCATGAAGGAGGAAGTCCGGCTGCAGGTTTGCAGAAGGCAGAGTGCCATTTTCAGCAGGAGGGGAAAAGTCACTTGTTCTCACTTCCAGCAGCAGGAACCAGTGCCGTATATCCTTGAACCTCCATCCCGTAGGGTTTATTTGGCAGGGAAATTCTCTCTCCCTCCCCAAGCGAATGGCATGAGGACAGCATCCTCAAGGAGACCCCTGCTCTTTGAATGAAAGGGCCCTACCAGCTGAGCCCTGAGGCTGCCCAGGCCAGCATGTGTGGAAGGAAGGGAAGGTCCCTGTCTTCTCCAGCCAGGCCTCCCTTGGTGTGATGGTATGTGGGAATGACGGGGCCAATAGACACTGCCTCGGGAGTGGTCAGATAAGAGGGGGCATAGCCCACAGCTGCATAATGGGTGGAGAAAGAGGCTCAGAAGGGACCCCCCCGCAGCTTCTCTGGTGGTAAAGGAAACTGGCAGGGGGGGAAGAATTGTACTTTCAGACTTGCAAGATTCTGTTAAGGTAGCCTTACAGTAAAGTAGAATTAGCTCACCTGGTCGTGTCCACCCAATAAGGCTGACTCTTGGGCCAAACTGGAGCACCTGGAGGGCCCACTAACGCTGAGGGTTGCAATAGAGAAGGGTGAGTTTCTTCTCCATCACTGTTGTCTTTCCTAAAGGAGTGTGTGTGTGTGTGATACCCCTGGACTGCCCTCCATTTCCCCAACCCCAGTCTCCTCCTTGCTTTTCCAGTCCCAAGTATTTCAAGGTGGTCCCTGGTGAAGGAATGCCCTTGCCCCAAGACCCCACCTGCAAGGGAGACCTGTTCATGTACTTCGACATCATCTTCCCGGCCAGACTCACCCCAGCAAAAAAGGCGCTGGTGAGGGAGGCCCTCCTGACGTGAGGAAGATCGCGGGAGGACCCAGCTGCCCTTCCCCAACCTCGCTTCTTGGAAGAAATTAAAACGCTTTTCTATTTAATTCGGATGCAAATGACTCCTTAGCTACAGAATGGGAGGGAAGGGAGATGCCCTCAAGAAAGGCCCAATGCTGGTGCTTATTCGGCAGGGATGCACCAGGGTGCAGAAGCCATGCGTTGGGTCCACAGAAAACTGCTTGTGTGGGTCTCAAGGGCTGGATTGGAGCACTGGTTTAAAAATGTGAGGTTCTTCAAAGCGAGTAGCGCAGCTTGCGACATCCAGTACGTTGAACTGCAGGATTAACGTGTGTGTGAATATGAAAATCTTACTAGCAGTGGAGCAGGCAGGAGTCAGGTTTAATCCCAAACCTCCCCCCTGCCAAGCTGTGCAGTGCAAACATGAGAGCGGATGTATGAGGATGGCCATTGTTGTAGATCAGTGTTTCTCAACCTTGGCAACTTGAAGATGGGTGGACCTCAACTCCCAGAATTCCCCAGCCAGCCA